CTCGAGAGATCGGGTCAGCTGTGTGGGTGAAGTCATTTTTGAGCTGGGAGTTCAGGGTGGGAGAGAGAAGAAAAGACTATAGTGAGGAGAGATGCGGGGCCAGGGGAGGAGATGGGTGGGCCTGGAATAGTCTGGCAGGGGGACATGAGCCTTGAACATGGCTTCCTTTCCGCTTTCCAGGAGCATGGGTCCAGTGGGAACGGTGAGCGCAATGAAGCTGTCAGTGGACTCAAAACTTTGGTGAGCAGCGGTCGTTACTCCACCTTGGGCTGGGACTGGGGTGCCAGGCATCCTTGTGTCTTTTCCTTCTCGACACCCGGATCTCCTGCCTCTTTCTCACAAAGCGGACTCTTAACATCCTGCCATTTCTCTTCCATTCCTTAGAACTCTGACCCGTCTTCCTTGCCTTTCAACTTTGACAGTTTCTGGGAGGTAAGTTTGGCAAGCTTGCTTGGCCTCCCTGAGGAGAAGCAACCCCACTTCCTCAGTCCTCCACATCCCAAGAAAAAGCCATGACCACGACCTTCTCCTTTAAAAGCTTTAAAATTTCATTTTTATTTTATGCATATGAGTACTTGGCTGGCACATATGGCCTCTGTGTCTGGTGTCTGCAGAGGCCAGAATAGGGCATCAGATTTTCTGGAACTGGAGTTACAGATGGTTGTGAGCCACCATGTGGTTGCTGGGAATAGAACTCAGGGCCTCTGAAGAGAGCATTCAGAGCTCTTAACCACTGAGCCATCTCTCCAGCTCAGCCCTTGACCTTTTCTGGCCTGAAAAACAAAATAAAACAAACATTATTTTGTTTCCTTTTGTTTTCCCTGCAGAATTTTAAATCCAAGATGGGTTTCATTAACTGGGATGCCATAAACAAGGTAAGGGCCAGAAGGCCACGCCCTTGATGATTTGAGAGTGGAGGACCAGAGAGGAGAGCTAGACGTCTTCAGGGTGAGGCAGGGGGTAGTAAGGAAGACTGCTAAGAAGGTGTTTAGACAAATGCTCAAACCAAATGGGTTCACAAGTGGGGGGCTGATGGAGACCTGGGAAGATAGGGTGAACTCAGAAATTGTTGGGCGCTGGCAATGAGCTGTGTGCGGGGGTGTCTTTAATATCTCAGCTTAAAGAACCAGGTGAATCCTCAGCCTCAGTCTCCCCTTTAGACCTGTGAGATGCAAGTTTGTATTCCCTGCAGTTTGGGCAGAAAGGGTGGTAGGGCTGGCAAATTCGAGGCCACCCTGAACTACAGTGAGTTCATAACCTGCTTAGGCAATTTAAGGAGATAATATCTCAAAATTAAAATCCATCAGTGAAGGTCTGAGTTAAAACTCAGTGTGGAGTCCCTTTGCAGAATCCCCCAGTGAGGGGCTAGGGGCATGGTTCAGTGGTAGAGCACCTGCCTAGTCTTCCCTAGTGAGGAGCTGGGAGGTGTGGCTTAGTGGTAGAGCCCCTGCCTAGAGTTCCCCAGCGAGGGGCTGGGTATGTGGCTCAGTGATAGAGCCCTGTCTACAATCCCCCAGTGAGGGGCTGAGTGCGTGGCCCTGTGGTAGAGCTGCTCACCTAGCACTGGTGAAACTCAATCCCCAGCTCTCCACAAAAGGGATTAGGCAGACAGAGTAGGCATGATCCTCGGGAATTTGCTGAATGAGGAGTCGCATGGATGTACAAAACCATACGTAGACTTAAAAAAACCCAGAGAGACAAGGAAAATGGACAGGAGGAGCTACTGAGAACCAGATGCGTGACAGGCCTTGGGAGAAACCCTGCTTGTGTGTAAGCCTCACAGCTCGGCAGGGAAACCTTTTCTCCTTCTCCCTGCTCTACCCATCCCTCTCACAGTGAATGCCCCTGGCCAGGATAACTTGACGACATGATAGCTTGTTGGGAAATGAGAGGATGAAGGGCAAAGAGAAACCTGAAGTCTCCCAGCAGAAGCTGGGACTGTGGGTGGTAGATGGGCCTGTAATGCCACTTTTAAAAAGCTAACTTGGAGTTTATTTTTCCTTTTTCAAAAAAGTTTACTTTTTAAAATTTTTCAGTTTTTTTATTTATGTGTCTCTCTGTGTTGGGAAACAGTACCCATGGAGGCCAGAAGAGGGCATTGCATCCCTTGGAGCTGGAGTTACAGGCAGTTGTAACCAGCCTGATATGGTTGCTGGGATCTGAACTCTGTTTGCTGCAAGAACAAGTACTCTTAACACCAAATCATGTCTCCAGCCCTAATTTTAGTTTAAACAATCAATTTTTTCTCAGTGCTTGGGATTAAACCTAGGACCAAAAGAGATCCAGACAAAATGTTCTACCACTGAGCCACACCCAGCCCCTCAATGGGGGATTCTAGGCAGGGGCTCTACCACTGAACCACATCTCTAGCATTCTTTTTCACTTTTTATTTTGAGACAAGAGTTTCACTAAGTTGTTAAGGCAGTCCTTGAACTCATAATCCTCCTGCCTCAGCTTCCTGAGTAGCTGGAATGACAGGGTTGATACACAGACTCAGGAAAAATTGGAGGCTGTTAAGAAACAACAGTACACACCCAAGAGGTCCAGGTGACCTTCTCATGAATCACCAAGACACATTAAGAATAAAAAGAACATAAATTACTTGCCAAACTTTAAAAAGTGGATGACTTCACTTAATGACTTAGGTGCTTGACTCATCTCGAAAGATCTGGCCCCTCTGGGACCCCTTTCCACGGGACAGAGTACTCCTACTCAGTGCTGTGGGTTCTCTAGGGACTATTCTGATCTGTCTGTCAAGCATTCCAGTCACCTGATTGGCTCTTTGTGCTGCTGAAATTTTAATCCTTATCCTAAAACATCCTTCCCAAGACTTGGGGTCTTTATTGGACAGTGGCAGTGGTGAAATGGGGATAGAATTTCCACATTTCAGGAAAGCCCATTTGACGTCTGAGGGAATGGGGCAAATGTATGAGAGATGGGTATTTCCCAGTTGCAACACATTTCTAGTTTAAATGAACAAAATAAATTCCATTTTATTGTTGTACCCTATTATTTAATTTTGAGACAAAGCCTCCCAATGTAGCTCAAACTAGCCTTGAACTCACTAGGTAGCCTGGGTTTACCTCAAACCTGAGCGTTTCATGACTCAGCTGCCTGAGTGCTGGGATTCTAACCATGCACCATCATACCTTGAGTGAGGGGTCTACATATATATATATTAGTCCTTGCGGGACTAATGATCCCCTTGGAGACCAGGGCACAGGCTGGCACCGTACCAAGCATTTTTGCCCATCTGGGGAATGCTAGCTAGGTGGGATTCACAGCGACTGGCCTCCCAGCAGGTCAGTCTAGAAGAATGGGGTAGGCAGAGATGGGCAGGGTAGGGCATCCAGCTTCTCCAGTGGGAGGGGGCTGAGAGAGGTGAGCTGCCTACTTCAGCTAGTGGGATGGGCGAGGGGAGGGGCATGAGCCCAACCTGGGATATCTGGCCTGTGTGGACTGACGACAGTGTCTTAAAAGATCCATGCAGAACTCGAGAGCAGTGTCCCCTGCTAGCCCTCCCCTGCCCAGTGCTCCCCAGAGATACCCACTACCTTAGCTTCCTCTTAGAACCCATTTCTCTGCTCAGGACAAAGGGAGCTCTCGCAAACCATGACCACCAGATGAGGAGCTACCAGCTGGATGGGAGTCCCACCATTCCCTCAGTCCTGACTCTCACCCTGCCCCCGGAAATAAACCGTAGCTGTCCCACACTGCTGGTCTCCGTTCCTTTCTTTGCCTCCAGTGTTGTCCTGGGAGGGGGTAGGGAGATGTGTTGGCGGCTGGCAGACCTGGGTCCTGAGGGGTTTGTGACAGTTGTGTTGTATCCAGGAGAGGGACAGAGCTGGGTCTGGGCAGGCACACAGTACGAACCTCTAGCCGGTCTCTCTCGTTCTCTGTTCTCTTTCCAGGTCTGGTGTACCTAGAGATTCCCAGAATCCCTTGCACACATTAGTTACAAGCCATCTCTGAAGGCTGAAAGGAGGCGGGAGCGGGAGTCAGGGCTTTAGGTGAGCAGTGGCGGGGTTCCCTGCTAACCTGTTCCCCATCTTCTGTTCACAGGGCCACCTCCCGCCTCCCAGCACTCGAGCCTTACTCTACTTCCGCAGACTCTGGGAGGTAGGAGAAATCCCACTTTCCAAAGACCTGGGGATCCCGCCCCCCATCTATCTCCCTCAAAGCAGCTATAGCTCATCTACCGCAAACATCGTGTCTCTTTTGGGGGGGTGTTTACTTCATTTCCCCAGTGTTGGGGATTGAACACTGAGCTCTGCGCGTGCTCAGCAAGCGCTCTGTTACTAAGCGACACCCCAGCTCCCCTCACTTTCTCCAGCTGTAGCCCAGGCTGGCCTTGAATTCACTGTGTAACACAGGCTAGCTTGGAGTTCGCAATCCTCTTGCCTCGCTTTCTGAGTGCAAGGGTTCAGGGTGTGTACCACCACACGTGACAGCTTTTCTCATCTTTCAGATAGGCCATTTCATTATATTTTATCCCCTACACGATCTCAAACTCAAGCACCCCCAATTTCCCGTATGCTTGTCTTCACCCACCCCCAAGCCACACCTGGCCTGTCCTACAGCCAGCCACCTGGCACCCTGCCCGGTGTGTTGTCTCTCCTTCCCTCTGAGTTCTGGCACCGCGTGCACTTTCTCATCTCCACTTCTCCTTCCAGAATTTCAAACGCAAGACTCCGTTCTTCAACTGGAAGCAGATTGAGGTAAGGGGGTGGGAGGAGGCAGCTTAGCTCTGGGGACTCAGGGTTGGCAGTCCCTTGACAGGTAGATGGCTTCCCGATGCCCCTGTCTGGGTTTCCTCCTGTCCCTGGTGAGGGAGGACACCTTCCCTTCCTGCTTTTTTTGGATTATGCAACCCTGAGTTGGGTGGAGCAGGAGTGAGAGGGAAGCTGTGAGTCACCTGAGCAGGAGCTGGGTGGGAGGGGTCTCCCGAGGATAAAATCCCAGGGCAGGCGGTTTGGGACTCATTGCACCAGAGCAGAACCATGAAGTCAGCCACCTTCTCCCTTCTGCTGCTTATCCTGCTGGGTGTGGCCTGGTGCGGAGACAGCCACAGCTGGGTGGGTACCGAGGGCATGTGGGTGGAGGGGGATCCCCAGGATGGGGAGGAAGAAAGGATGGAGCCACTCTCAAGCAATGGCAAAGGGTTACAGGGGAGGAAGCTGAGGAGAATCAGGCATAAAGGGTGGATGTAGGAGGCCTGAGCAGTTGGGTCTTGGGAGGATGAGCAGGTCCATTGTGTCCTGTAGAAAGCCACTCCTCAATGCTCTCAATGCTGTATAACTAGTGGCCTTTGAGAACCAGAACTGAGGTGAAGCTGCCTGAGTTCCTTATGCACACATGTAGGACCAGTGTCCCTGCATAGAATCCTGCAGTGAGGGGCTGGGGTGTGGCTCAGTGCTAGACCCTTGGCCTAGAATCCCCCAGTGAGGGGCTAGGGTGTGGCTCAGTGGTAGAGTCCCTGTCTAGAATCCCCCAGTGAGGGGCTGGGGGCGTGACTCAGTGCTAGACCCTTGCCTTGAATTCCCTAGTGAGGGACTGGGGTGTGACTCAGTAGTAGAGCCCCTGCCTAGAATTCCCTAGTGAGGGGCTGGGGTGTGACTCAGTAGTAGAGCCCCTGACTAGAATCCCCCAGTGAGAGGCTGGGGTGTGGCTCAGTGGTAGAGCTCCTGCCTAGAATCCCCCAGTGAGGGGCTGGGGTGTGACTCAGTGGTAGAGTCCCTGTTTAGAATCCCCCAGTGAGGAACTGGGGTGTGGCTCAGTGGTAGAGCCCCTGTCTAGAATCCCCCAGTGAGGGGCTGGGGTGTGGCTCAGTGATAGAGCCCCTGCCTAGAATCCCCCAGTGAGAGGCTGGGGTGTGGCTCAGTGGTTCATCACCTGCCTAGAGTGGTTTTGATCCTTATAACCTCTGCCAGCTGTTGAGGAGCTGTGGGGAGTGCACCGAAGACTGCTGTTAATGCTTCCTTGCCTGTCTTCCCTTTCCTGGGAATTAACCTAACTGAGCTTCAAAAACCCCCTGAAAAATAACATTAGTATAGCAGGATTAAGAGCCGTATAGGGAGCAGCGGGGTCTAGTGTGGGCACACGGCTGGCTGGAGTTGAGGGATACATGTGGGTTCATCTCCTTTGTTATTCAGAGCTTCCGACCATGCATCCTGTGTGGGGGTGCTGCTGCTGTTGCCCAACTTGGCTCTTCCCCATTGCTCCCCAACCTTGAGTGTGGACATCTGTGCTTTCTATCTATCTGGGTCATCAGCATCCTCCAGTCCTACTGGACTTAAGCGAGACTATTACAGGAGCGGGGCAGGATAGGCAGGGTCCCAGGAGGAAGTAGGATGAAGGCAGCACAATGTCTGGGTTTGGAAACTGGCAAGGCCTGGAGGATCTTGGAGCCCCTGACCACAGCTTTCGGCTCCTTTTTAGGGTTCAGATCTGCCATCGCTGCAGAAGAGGGCAGGTGGTGCCGAGCAGGTGAGTCTCTGTCCACAGGCTTCTGGAAAGCCCTGGGTCTCTCTCAGCCCCGTTCTCAAGGCTGGCTAATCTGAAATTCTCTCTTTTGCCCACCCCCACCTGATACTTTTCTCAGCCTGAAGCAGCAAGACAAGAATTGTCAGCTGTCACATCCAAGGCAAGCCATCTCCTCCCCGACCCCCCGACATAAATGCCTCCCTTTCTCCTGGTCTTCTACCCTTGCCTCCCATGTCACACTTGAGGTGCTGGGACAGAGACCAGGAAGGAGGAGGAATGACCCGATGGAGTGGGGTCCAGTTGGCCCTGTGGGGTAGCATGAAAGAAAGCCCACGTTACAAGGAGGGGCCAAAGGGTGGGCTTCTAAGAAACCTGCTGACTGGGTAAAGTAGTGGGGTGTTTATTACACAATGGAATGTCATCATCCCTTCTCCTCTGAACCCCCATGCATTTCTTGTTTTCCCCAGAACTACTACAATAACCCACAGGGGAATCCTACTTATAACTGGCAATACTATACCAAGGCTACTACTGCCAAGGTGAGTCTTGAAAAAGCTTTACTGTCTGTCTGTCTGTCTGTCTGTCCATCTCTGTGTCTTCCTGGAGCACAGAGAGAATTGCTTCCTTCCTCCATTGCACCACTTTATGAGGGAGACTCCAGCGCATCCCCCTTTCCTGCCCTGAGAGTAGATTGGAAGTAGGTGCAGGGCGAAACCTGGGCAACGAGATGCTTCCAGACAGACAGATTACAGGCGCCGGGCCAAACACACAGACTTGCTTTGTGTGTGGTTTTCTTGTCCTTTGTGGGGCAGCAGCTGGGGCGGAGGAAAGTAGTCCAGCACATTCTACAAGCCAAGTTTAGGGACTCTTGGTTGGTGGGAAACTGAGTTCTTCTTGCCGCAAAGGAAATAATAATAATAATAATAATAATAATAATAATAATAATAATAATAAT